TCTAATCCCTGGGGAAACTGAGATAGTACTCAGTAGTCCTCAGCATGCGGGAATCCAGAGTTCCCCCAGACCTGAAGAAATCTACAAATATTTCCTCTGGACAAAAGCATAAATGCATCTATAATACTTGGAAGCTCCCAACCCCTAAAGTGCACCTACAGGATGGCTACAGCTCCAGGTGGTGGGGGGTTCTTTTTAAAGCCAAGAGGGCCTTACTTTGTTTATGGTCTCTTCGTCAAACCACAGGAAAGATGCCTGCCTAAGTAGAGGTCGCAAGTTTCCAGCATTATTACTTCCTTCTCTCTCTGTCCATATTTTGGAAAAATTCTGTGCCAGAAAGTCTGGTGATGCTGGAACCCAGGTGGGGAGGTGACAGGAGGCTGCAGCTTCTGTCAACAACAGGTCTCCCTACAACTCTGACGTCCTCCCCCATCACTGTGTCTGGATGCCAAGGTTAATGACAAATCCTAATTACTTTTTTGGGCCCATCTGTTTAGGGAAGCTGACCTCTGATAGATAGTATCCAGCTGTCAGTCCCTTTGCAGGCAGGATACGTGAGCAAATGCCTTTGAGAAGCTCCAGACAGAAAGAAACAAAATACAGACAATAGAATATGTGTCTTTCCAACTCACCAAGGGCCCGGGCAGGCTCAGGAGAAGCCTCTGGCAGCCATATTTGCCTTTGGCTACATCTGATTGGATGAGGGGCAGACACCCAGGGGAGCAGGCCAATCAGAATTCCTTCCCTGGGAATTTGGAATTAGGACTAAGAAGAGGCATAGAAATTGAGGAGGGCCAGGCACACTGTTGTTCACCTGTAATCCCAGCTACTTGGGAGGCTGAGATAGGAGGACTGCAAGTTTGAAGCCACCCTGAGCAACTCAGTGAGTCCTGTCTCAAAATAAAAAATTTTTTAAAAGAGCTGAGGATATAGCTCAGTGGTAGAGTACTTGGCTAGTATGCATGAGGCCCTGGGTTCAGTCCTTAGTATGACAAAAGCAAAGTAAAACAGAACTGGAGAGGGATAGCATGGCTATATTTTCAAAATTATGGGATAAGAAGCAGACTCTTCATGAGGCTAGGTAATGTTCCTGTCATTGGGTCCTCTGAGATATCTCTGAATCCTAATATTAAATTCTCCCCTTTTGCATAATGTGGCAATGTCTGCCAAGACAGCTGTTAGGAATGCTTCCCTTCCCTGCCCATGTATCATTCCTTCTTTAAGGAGGTGGGATCTATCTCTCTGTGCCCTGAAGAAGATGATGGAAAAGATGTCCTGCCAGTTCCAAATGTAGCTATTCAGAGTCCTGGCGATTTCTTCCTTTGCTTTCCTGGGCTTCAGCTGCCGTGTGAAGGAGCTGGGACCAGCCTACTGAATAAGGAAGGGCCATGTAGGGGTCACACAGACAGCCCTAATGCACAGATGCAGCCCAGTCTAGCCACCAGCTGCATGAAGCTAAGGCAGCAACCCCACTCAACACTCCATGGAGCAGAAAACCTGCCCAGCAGAGCCCTGCCTGAATTCTTAGCCAGTGAAATCATGAAAAAAATACGACATGTTGTTGCTTTAAATCACTATGTTTTGGGTGGTTTGTTACATAGCAGTAGATGACTGAGGCAACCTGGCTGGGTTTTGTTTCCTAATTCTTGCCAGCAATGTGTTTCATCTAACACAGAAAGTTAGTTATGGCCACCATGAAGAGTAAACCCTAAGATCTCACTTCAAGCTTGAAGATGGAAAGTGGGAGCATAATGAGGCCAGTTAAAGGGGTCTCTCTCCTGGCCATCATTTCTACCTCCCAGGATACTTAAGACAGCAGGGCTGCATTGAAGGCTGAAGGTGAGCAATGGGTTAAAACTTCTCTTGGGCAGAAGCAGAGGGCTCCAGGAAGGAGGCAGCTCCAGACTGCCGTGTGGCATAGGCTCCCGCACAGCCCAGACCACTCGGGAGGCTGAATGTAGCCGAACTTCCCCAGGGAGGCCTGAGGACTGTTCTCTCTTGGAACTCAAGCCAGCTCTGGCAACAGTGGGAGATACCAATGGGTTAATACGAGCTGGAAGGGACTTGTGCTGTAGGGTCTAGAAGTTTGAGGATAGATTTTGAGGAAATACCTCATAGTTATGAGCAAGTTTAAGAGTCAGCTAGGCAGGGGTTTGTGCCTTGCTTCTCAGTGACCTTTGGCAAGTGACCTAAGCACTTTAAGCCTCCGTTTCCTCATCTGCAAAATGGAGATGGTGGTAGCACTGTTTTGATAGGGTTGAAAGGAGCCATTCATGAATTAATTCAAATAAAGTTTTGAAATATAGGGTTTGGAACATAGTAAGCGCTCAATAAGCAGTTCCCATTGCAATGATTACTTATCCTGCTTATTCACAGAGATTTCACACCTCTCCCAGATGGCTTTTGCTTAGATAATAGGAAACTTGGCATGGCCGAATGGGTACCTGCAAAGGGGACGTGACACACCTGCAGCCTTAGCAGTTAGAAGAAGCTCCTTTACTCCGGAGACACAGCCAACAACACTGTGTGGGGTCCCCAGCAGCACCCCAGATACTGTCAAGTCTGCCCAGGTAGGATTCTGAGAACCACAGATGCATCTGATGAGTGGGGAAACTGAGACCCCAAAGTCTTGTTACCCAAGAGCCTCTGGTTCTGCGGTGGGAGCCCCAGCCGGCACTCCTACTGTCAAGCTTGCTTCCTGGCTTTCATCTGACCCCACTCTGATCCCCTCGCAGAGAAGCATGGGCGGAACAGGAGCGCCACCAGGCCGAAGGCTGGAGCTCAGAGCTGCAAATAGCATTGGGTTTGCCTCTGGTGCCGCCGCCAGCGAGGACTCTTCTGGGACCAGACTGCCCTCCCCGCCCGGGAAGCCAGGCAGAAAAAACGGGCCATCTCAGCAAAGTACATGCTGTCAGCTCGGATTTGGCCCTGCTTCCCTGGAAGCCTGGCAAACTCCCTTCAGGGGAAGCCAGGGGCTGAGAGAACTCCAGGGCTTGCCAAACCGGAGTCTCGGGCATGGTTGTACACAGGGAGTATCAGGCAGTATCAACAGCAAGCCTGTTCTTTTCTTTAAAAGTCACCGTTAGTCACCGCCATTTATGAAACACCCGAGAGGAGCATGGTAATCTTTTGTATGCAAATTTAAAATGTACCAAGAAGCAGGTGTTAATGGTAGACCTAGTTTGCAGATGAAGAAACTGAGGCACAGAGAGGGTAAAGTGGCTGACAACAAGTCACGCAGAGAATACGTGACAGAGCTGGGATTTGAACTAGGTCTGTCTGACTTTGGAACTGTAGCTCTTAAGCAGGACACTGAGCTGCCACACCACCAAGTTGGTGGGAGAATATGTCAGCCATGGAGAACAGGCAGGGACCCTGTCAACCCCATTCCAGAATGTTCAAGCTGGGATCCGCTCTGTCCACAGGGATCCTCTCTTAACTTTCTTCAGCTGTGTCTCCAGGGCCATATCAGCAGGACCCGGTCTGATAGCCCTGGTTGTGGCTGATTGGACGGGGGACAATACCTGACAGAAGCCAGCCAATCAGAGTGCTTTCCCAGGACTCTGGACCCTGGACAGAATTCTAAACTCCCCAGCCTCTTAGACACAAGTGATGTAGAAACTGGACAGCAGCATCACTGGCTGTGGTCACTCATTCACTCAACAACTATTGTGCTGTGCACATACTCTGTACCAGGCTCTGACAGCAGTGAGCAGAACAGGCAAAAATCTCCACCTTCAAGAGTTTTGCATATGAAAGTGGCATATGATAGTCAAGGTAATGGGGAGGGTACAAAATATGACGGGGGCTTGAGTACAGTGCAGGAAGAGGGTTGAGAAGGATACAGTGTTTGCTTCCAGCTTCTACATTACCATCCATACCCTTCCTTCCTTCAGGACGAGGCTGCTGTTGTATGACATGCAAGATCTCTCTCTCTCTCTCTCTCTCTCTCTCTCTCTCTCCTTTACACATAATTGTATATATTTGTTGGGTACAGTATGATGTTTTTGTACAGTACTGGGGATTGAACCCAGGTCCCTCACATAGGGCTACTTTAAAAATAAATAAATTTTTTTTTTTTTTTTACTTTTGGTACCAGGGATCGAACTCGAGACCTTGTGCTTGCAGGCAGGCGACAGCACCACTGAGCTAAATCCCCACCCAGCCCCCCCAAATTAATTTTGAGATCGGGTCTTTCTAAGTCACTAAATTGCATGGGTTGGGTTTGAATTTGGAATCCTCTTGCCTGGGCCTCCCAGAGTGCTAGGATTATAGATGTGCACCAGCACACCCGGCTATAGTGTGACATTTCAATACATGCATTCCCTGTGTAATAATCAGATCAAGGTAACTTGCATATCCATCACCCTAGATGCATATCATGTTTTTGTATCGGAAACATTCAAAATCTCCTCCTCTAGCTATTTTTAAACATTCAATTACTTGCTGTCAATGTGGTTGTCCCTTTGTGCTGGAGAACCTTAGAAGGCATTGCTCCTGTCCACTGCAGCCCTGTGCCCATTAACCAACCTCTCCCCAGCTGCCCTGCACGCAGCCTTCCCAGGCTCTGGGAACTGCTGTTCTCCTCTGTACTCCAGGAGGCTCAGTCTTCCAGCCCCTGCAAGTGAGCTCGGACACTGCCACCTCTACACCCACCTCTGTTCATGCCCTGTGGCTGTGTCCCCATGGTCAAGGTGTCCAGAACACATTGCTGTGAGGCTGCCATTGGCTAAGCCACCCTGTGCAGGCTCCAGTGACAAACCCCACGTCCCCACCTCAGGACCCCCCCTTTCCCCCCACCTTCCATGCACACCTTGCCAAGAGGCACCCCTCCAGCCCAGCCCGCTCTCCCCACCTCCCATAGCCAGGACTCTGGGTCTGTCTGGTGCCAGGTCTGTTCTGACAAGTCACAAAGGACAATGCCCAGAGGTATCCTGGCCCCGCAGCCCACCCCACCTCCCTGCCTCAGTGGCTTTCAGGGGCAGAAACATCAGCCTCACCCAATCCGCTCCTGCTCCATCTCCTCCATTTTCTCAGCCCGAGCGATCACCCTGTTGATGATTTCCTTCTCCTCATCTGTCAGCTCCTCCTGCTTCCTCTGTCTGTCTGTCTGGCCACTGGGGTGGACAGACCATCCTGCCTGGACCCTGAAAGGCAATTTGAGAAGGTATGAGTGAGGCTGGACAGAAAATGGATGAGATTTTTTAAATTTTTATTTTATTTATTTTTTTTCTTTTGTTTTTTTTTTTGTTTGTTTGTTTTTGGTACTGGGGATCGAACTTGGGTCCTTGCACTTGCACAGCAGGCAGCGAAACCACTGAGCTAAATCCCCGGCCCCTATTATTTTTTTTCTTGAGACAGGATCTCATTTTGTAGCTCATGCTGGGCTTGAACTCATGATGATCCTCCTGCCTCATCCTCCTGAGTGCTGGGATGACAGGCATGCATCACCATGCCCAGTACCCATTGGATTTATTTTTATTAAGTGCTTGGTAATCTACACGGTGAGCACTCTGCAGATGGCATTTGGGGAGGTGCATGACTTGGAGGAGACTTCCATAGTTGGAAGGGAAACAATTCTGCCAGGCATCCTGAAGCCCTGGGTCTCAGGATGACCCCAGTGCCTGCCTGGCACAAAGATGTTTTGTTTGGGCCCCAGAATTTTAAAAAATAAATTTAAAGTAGTTGCCAACTAGGTTTACACAAATCTCTTGACTTCACATAAGTGTGTAGGTTTCTGGCTTCAAAGGCTCCAGTAATATTTTGAGTTCTACTCTGTGCTCTTCCTGCCCTTTTAAAAAAGTAAACATTAAAAAAAAAAGTAAACATTGCTGTAGTGCCACCGAGGTGCCTGGGTCACCTATCTGAACCCTCATGTCATCCCTACAAGGCAGGGACTGTCAGTGCCCCTGTTGGGCGGGGGTGAGGCAAGAGAAGTTAGATGGTCTGGAGGAGCAGAGGCTGCTGGGAGCAGAGCTGGCGCTAAGGCCTATGGGTAATCAGTGTCCCTTCCCCTAGCACCACGCTCCATGCCTCAGGCCCCGAGCTGCAGCAGCTGAGTGGACCCCGGGGCTTAACACCACTTGAATTCTTGTCCTTATCAGGGGAAATTTTCTTTCTCCAGAGCCTCAGGAGCCAGCGCCCTGGTAGCTACCGGCCTTGGTCACATCCCCTGCTCTGATCACAAAGTAGGTATGAAATTGGCTTTGACACCTGGAGTTGGAAATTAAAATCTCATCGCCCTCTCTCCTCTGCCTGCCTCCCCACCCTCACTGGTTTGTTGTGGGGAAGCAGGTGTCTTGGGGCCAGTGTTCTTGTGAGAAAGGGAAAGACATATGGCCGGAAACATGGGAGAGGAAACACGAGTGAGGCCCCGGAGCAGGGGCTTCTGGGATGGCAAATGCCAGCCATGCTCGAAACCTCCGGTGAGACCTGACTGACTTGGGATAAAGTCCAGAGCTGAGTTGGCTGGAGTCCTGTGAGGCGTGCGCGCATGTATGTGTGTGTGTGTGTGTGTGTGTGTGTGCGCGCGCGCGCGCATGCACAGTGCTGGGGATCAAGCCCAGAGTCTTGCACATGCTATGCACATGCCAGGCAACATTGTACCACTGAGCTACACTCCCAGTCCTGGACCTTTAAAGTGGTTAATGTGACGTTTACCTTAATAAAAGTAAAGCTCCATCTTCTTGCCCATTTGTAAAGTTCCACCTGCTCTGTCCCCACCCCCCCATCAATGTCCCTGCTTTTTCTTGGTCACTATGCTCTATCCACAAGGGCCTCTGGCTAGTCTTGGACACTAAAAACTTGTTTTTGCCCTAGGGCCTTTGCACTTGCTGTTCCTTCAGCCAGAAATACTTCTCTCCCCAGAAGTCCACCTGGCTGCCTCTGCTGCATGGGGCCAATCTCAGGGAAGCTGTAGTTGATCCATCATTGCTCTGGTTCATTCTCTCCACTGTGCCTATCTCTAGATGAGGCTGTCTTTCCATTTTCTTGTTACCTGTTTATGACCTCTCTTTCCCCACTGGAGTGGAGATTATGAAACTGCAAGTACCCCGTCTCTCTCCAGTTCTCTATTGCGTCCCTGGCATTCAGATCAGTACCTGAGAACAGGCACAAATAGGACCCAGTCCTTTGTGGCCCAAAGTGATACTGACATCTACTTAACGTGTGACACATGCAGACACAGGAAATAGGAAGTGGTCAGCCTAGGGCCCAAGGGCAGCTGCCTGGGAAGGGGAAGGGGCTCCGTTGTGATCTGGTGACCCTGAAACCTTAGTCTTTGTTTGCACAGCTTCCTCCTGAGGTGGCCCTAGTGATGGTCATACAATTAGGAAAATGTGCATAAGTCAGAGATTCTTGTCCCTGATCTTGAGGGTCCCTAAAGCATACAAACTCCCGGGCCCACACAGCTCCTGCTGGCCCTGCTAAGCCTGGGAGATGAAGCAAAGGAGGATGAGGAGGAAGGGGACAGCTGGGTCAGCAGACGGGGGTCTCTGCAGAGCCGTGGAGCAGGGAGTAGCCCGAAGAGGGAAAGACCAGGGTGACAGCCAGCCTACAGGGTGTCCCCAAGGATCCCTGCCTCCTGCTCCCCACAGCCTCCCCAGTGTATGTGCCTTCCAGGCTGAATACAGGCTGGTCCTGGCTGACCCACTAAATATGCTGGATGGGACCTCAAGTGGCTTGCAAGAGACACTGCAGCGTCCACCATGGTCTCTGGTGTCTGCTTTAAGCCACTAAGTTTGCGGCATTTGATAACTGGAAACCGGCCTAGCTGAGGATGGAGATGGTGAGCACGAAGCTCTGTTGGCAGGGTTTGCGTCCAGTTCCATCTCTGCATTACAGATTCTTGCCAATCCCAGAGCTTCAGACCTCAGTCTGATGGGCTCCCAGCCTCACAGGCCAGGGTCAGCCTGGCTTCCCTGAGCTTCTGCTTGAGGCTTTGGGGCTTCAGTGAAGGTGTGGCAGGGCTGTGTTCTCATCTGGTGGCTCCACAATGGAAGAATCAGCTTCCAAGCAGATCTGGAGGTTGGTAGAGTTCATCTGCCTGCAGCTGCAGGATGGAGGCCTTGGCTTTTTTGTTGGTGGTCAGCCTGAGGCTAACTCAGTGCTGTAATCCCTAACCATCAGGACTTCTCTGGCAAGGAGATCAATTCCTGTGGCACATCCACAGGGAGGTGGTTTGGCTTGTGACAGCTGAACAGTCTTACACGAAATAAGCACAAGAGTGACAGCCATGTCCTGCCTGTATTCTGGAGGTTAGAAGCAAGTCCCAGATCCCACCTAGACTTGAGGGGAGGGGACTGAGCAGGGTGTGGACCCCAGGCAGAGGGGATCGTTGGGGTCACCTTGAAGTCTTTCTGCCAAGCTGCCCTGGCTTGGATGCTCCATTACAGAGGCCTCACTCTCTCTTCCCCACTGTGCACTAGCACCCCTCACCCTGACGCCTCCCTCCACTACTTTTTAAGGATACAGCAGGCTCCTGCATAATAAAGGCTACTGGCCCTCCCCAAAGTGGCCTAGTCAAAACCCATATCAACCACAGCCTGGGAGAAGTGTTTCATCTGCCCCATCCTTCAGGCTTGCAGCCCCACCTCTTCCTTGAGTGCTCTTGAGTCCCCCTCCATTTATTTCCTGTTCTAACAGAGCTCAGCGAGCCACACTGAACCAGGAGGATTCTGGGCCAGACCCAGTGGAGACCTCCAAGGACGGGTCCCTGCAGCTCCGGGTCTGGTCTCTCATGGTCATGGCCAGCTGCAGGTCAGACCTGACCCAACTTCCTGGGCTCCACGCACACAGGAGACCTCAGCTCCCGGATGCTCACAGCTCCAGAGACCTAAGCAGGGACGGGTGCTCCGGAGGCCCCGCCCAGGGTAGCTGCGCCATCTGCAGGCTGCAGGAGCAGAAGGCCGCTGGAGGCTGCGGGCAGCTCGCCAACCCTTCCCCCACAGCCTGGCCCAAAGCATGCAGGCAGTTGACAAACAGCTCCTCCAGTGTTTGGGAATGTCTCGATCGGTCTCAGTGGGAGCCTGCAAGCCTCCTGTGGATTTTCATGTTTTAATTCCAAAAGCAAACGGAGGGAAATGAGATCAGCTTTTCAAAGCAAAGCCTTTGCTCTGAGGGACAGAAAGGGCCTGTCTGGGTCCCCAGGGCTGGGGAACATTGCGGACGTGGTGGTTTCAAGAGTCTGTCCTTGTGATAAGATGCTGACTACCTTGCCTTGGGCACAGGATGTCAGCTCTGCGTCCTCAGAGTCCAGTGTTTGTTAGAATAATTTTAAAAATCAGTGCTGTTGACCAAAGTGTGGCTCTCCTAGGACAAGCTGCTCGGTGGATTGTATCCAACCCAAGAAATGCCCAGAGGACCTACTGTGTGCCCACCTGAGCCTCCTGGACTTGGTTGAGTCAATGCCTGGCACCTGGGTTTGCCTCCCCCTGGCAGTTGCACGGGGGCTCAACTGTTAGGTGGATGAGCAGGTGATGCAGGCAGACATCCATGGAAAATGGACACCTGGCCCATAGCACATGGCAGGCATCCTGTGACGTCTTGTGACCATTCTCCTCATTTACGAAGTGCCCCAAACTTGCAGTGAGAGGTGAACTCAAACTGATGAACAAAAGACATCCCTTGTGCTGGGCTTTGGGAGCACTCTGAGGAGCCAGGCCAGCCACTGCTCCCCGTGAGTGCTGGAGTTTTACAGACTAATGCTCACTAACTACCTGCTGGCTGGCGAACCATCCACCTTCACAGCCCTGGGACTACCGACACTGGCAGCCTTAGAAACTTGGCCCCTCAGTCTCCGTGAGGATGCCATATCCTAAGGGAGGCTCTGAGGGAGTAGGATTGGGGCCACACAGCCTAGGCTCCTCTCCTGGCTCTGTCCTGCCTGGGGGTGCCACTTGAGGCACAACTTACTTAACATGGCTGAGCCTTAGTTTGCACATCTGCCAAAGGAGATGCTAGTGGTGTCACAGAAGGCAGAGAGGACTCACCAGAACAGGTGTACAAAGCACTCAAACAAGGTTGACTTGGATGTCTTCCCCCTCCCGTCCTCCTCCGTCAACATCTGGGCATGTCTTATATCCTGGCCATAGTGACAATTCAGGGGGAAATTATCTAACAGAGCTGTACACAGAGCAGGCCCTGAGTGTGAATGAATGAGTAAGTGCTTTAATAAGAAGCACTAGGGAAGAGAATGACTCACTGATCATGAGGTGGGAGGGGCCAAACAATAAAACAATGTGCAGCGGGGTCTCTGGCATTTTAAAGTTAGAAATCTTTGGACATCTGCAGACACCCCCAATGCCTTCATGATACAAGTTCCCAAATTCAACTGCCCATCAGTCTGTGCAAAAATGCATATAGGAAGGAGGGAGGGAGGGAGGGAGAGAGAGAGAAAGAGAGAGAGAGACAGGGAAAGAGACAGACTGATGAATTGAAACTTCCAGGCAACCTAGCCTGAATTGAAGTGGCAGGAATTTCTATCAGCATAGGATATTTATTTTTATGGCTTTATTCTTTGGTGAAAATAGTGAAAAGTTCGAAATAACCCTGGTATCCATCAATAGTGACTGCTGAATAAACTGTTGTTTTTAAGATGACTTGTTACACAGCAATAGCTAACTGATACAACATCTGCTCTGGCAAGAAAAAAAGGAACATGAAGCTTTTTAGACTCTACACTTACTTTACAGATTGGTATTATTTTAAATCACAACGGTGTAAAGTTCACCATGATATTTTTTAATGCTTTCAGCCACACAAGGTCTTTATTCTGTTCTACTTTTATCTTTCTTAAATATTTAGCCTTTGAATAAAATATCACTGGAAGAAAGACTACACTGCTAACCGAAGTCTTAAATCATGACAGCTGACCCATTCATTTGCCAGATGTGTGGCATGCATGAGAGGGAGGGGAATTGCTGAGAAATGTTGACAAACCAGGCTTCCAGATGTGGTTTGCGTGCTACCTGGAGCACTGGCCTGGGCACATCTTGAGAGATTGGAAGGGTCTCTCCCTCAGAAGCAGGAATCAGATGCCCCCAAACAAAAGGAAGTCAGCCCTGACTCCAGTTGTCTGTGCCTAAAATCCTGCAAAGAACAGCCTGCTACCTCTTTCCTGCCTCCTACCTTGATTCCTCATGTCACGCACACAATAGTCACATAATAAATACCAGCCAGATGTCTCTATTAATAAATTAAATCTCCCCAAAGGCATGGGATGATGGAAGGGCTGTCGGGGCACGGAGACTCTGAAGCTTTCCAGCATGCAGAAAATTAATCCTTTTCTTTTCCTTTCTTCTTCTCTCCCTCCCTTCCCCCAGGGTGCCAATGTGGCAGGTGTCGCAGGAAGTCTGTACAGCTCAATGAATGAGAGTCTGATGCCTCCTGAAGGAAAGGACAGGGAGGGAGGGGGGCTGCACCTCCAAATGTCTTACATGTGCCTAGCTGCTGCAGAGGCCTGTTTGGATGAAATGCATCACGGCCAGATTAAGGGGTGCAGAAGGGATGTTGTGGTGGTCCTCCTTCCCTCACAAGGCCAGGACGCGGGGGAAGGGGGCTCTGGCTGACTTTTCAGCCTGATTGCCCCGTTCAGCTTTTCTGAAATTCTGCACACTCTCCCTCTCTCTCATGCACACTTGGGCTTTGCACATGCCGTTCTCCACCCGGAACTCCTCTGCATGTTCCACACGATGCTTTTCAATTGCCTGATCTTAGGCTAGACATCACTGCTTTCAGGAAGCTTTCCCACTGTGCCCCAAGTCTAGGCCAGGTGGCACTCCTTGTATTCCCACGTTCCCACAATTACAGCTCCTTACATGCTGGAGCATATTTGTTGGTGACTGGCTGTTTGTGGAGCCCATTAGACCCCATTCATGCCTTGGGTAAGTCTGTATCTCTGGGTGCTGAGCACAGTGCTTAGTATTTAATAAGTCCATGGTAAATATTCTTGGAAGGAAGAGAGGGAGGGAGGGAAAAGGAGAGATGGAAAGGAAGATGAGGGTGTGAGGGGTGAGGGGAGGAAGCAGTGGTGAAGTAGGGAGAGGAAGAGGACAGACATATGCTCCACCTCCCAACCTTCAGCATCAGGAGGGCTCCGAGAGCTTTGGGACCCCCTGAGTCATGAGTCTCCCCTTGTGATGTGCACCTTTATCAGCTCATTGGGGCTCAGCATCTCTCCCTGACAGGTCTTAACAATAGATTCACAACTGCATAAAAAGCAGATCTTGCCTGGCCAGCATCCTACCAGCCAGCAACAGAGACTGTAGAGCACTCAAGTGGTCTTTAATAGCTTGTTTGAATCTCCTGTTTGGCAGATGGAGACACTGGGGTACAGATCAGGGAGAAGAATTTCCCTGGGGTCACTTGGCTAAGTGTCCTTGTTAAGACACTCTGTAGAGGGTTCTGATGATGTGATTACTTGTGTCCAAAGAGGCTGACACATTGCACAAGGCTCTCCCTGCAGAGGCTAAGGTAAGCAGGGCTGTGATTCACACTCATCTGGCTTTGCTGGGTGCTTTACAGTCTACAAAGCTTTCCTGTACATCGCATTTGATCCTCCACCACCACCTGCGGAGGAGGAAGGGCTGCGTGATCACATACAGTTTATAAAAGATACAACCAGAGCTCACTGGTGATGGCGGGGGGACAGTGTCCAAAGCCTCACTGACAGTCAGTCCCAGAGTCTGATTACGGCAACAATCTCTCTATAGTTTCTAAATTCATCCATGGAACTGAAGATGGGCTGCTTTGTATCCTGGCTAATCATTTATTGGTCCCAGCACCCAATCTGTTATGCATGTTTAGGAAATGAATCCCATTAAAGCTCAAAAGATAAGGCCTGTGAGCCACAGGCCTTTCCCTGGGAAATCAGGGTGCCCTCCAACGAGGCACTGAGAAGGAGGGTACAGCATGGAACAGCCCACACCCTCTGCGCTGTTTGCCATCAGCCATGATGAAGGACAGCAGTGATTGGAGCTACCGTTTTCCTTATCTAAGGACCATGTTTCCAGCCAAATGCTGCAGAAATGGGCAGAAAATGATCCGTAACCTGGCTGCAATTCCACAGATTGCTACCAAGAATTATTTGACAGCGCTTCTCGGGAACGTTTCCCTTCCTTTTATCAAGTTGTTTGTGTTTTTTTTTTAAGGTTTCATTTTTTTTTTTCCTGAGATAGGTGTTTTCAGTTTACTTTTTAGCAACTTGACTTTTAAAAAGACATATAAAAGGCACTAGTTTTCAACTATCTCTCTTTTAGGGCAAGCCATCTTGATAAGAAAAGCATGAAACTCAGTATGGAGAAAAATAAAAGTGTCATAAAATACTCACTGTTCTTTGTCACTGAAGGAAGGCAAAGCAAGGAGAGAAAGAAAAATGAATAAAATTAGGTAAGAAATCTTGTAACCTTACCAAAACTTAATGGTTGCAATAACCAAATGGTTTGAATTACGATGATCTAATTCAATTTTTCTTAAGTCATCGTCTTATTTCAGCACATTTAAGATGGCTGCTTCCATGCAGGGCTACAAAATCCACATCCATGATTAAGTTGACAAATCAATTCAGCATATTAATGAACTGAGCATTCATGTATTTGAATAATGGTCTTGGGGGCAATAAAGAGAAATCTCTCAATACTAATGTGATCACAATCCTCTTGCTTTTTGTTATGTCAAAGGCCGGATGTGCATGCATGCATGTGCATGTGTGTGTGGCAGGGGAGGCACATGAATAGCCCTGTGGCCCTAAATGGTAGACCGCACCAGGTCCCAGGCTGGGGAAGCAAGTTCTTTGTCCCAGAAAGGGACCATTATTTCCATTTCCTAGGTGTGAGACTGTAGCAAGATCACCCTCTCTATGTGCCTCAGTTTCTACCTTCCAACTCTGGCCCTCTCTGGCTGAAGACTTGAGAGCTAGATAGAACCATCAGAGAGACCAGTGTCTCTCCCCATGAATTCCCAATACGGAGAGCCGAGCCACAGCCCTAACCTCGCCAGAGGCAGGTGCGTGGTCCCTTTCAGATCCCATCCTGCAGGTTTCAGACAGGATCACTAGGCTCCAGGAGGCTGCAAGGGGAAGACATTTGGAAATCACAAAAGCAGTGTCTTTGGCCAGCAGCTAACGAAGACTGGATTCCTTAATTTACTGGAGAAAGACATGGGCATTGTCTGCATTTGCGTATCACCACTGCAGCTGGGTAGATAGCACGTGTGATGACTGTAATTCACCCACCGGCATTTATTGAAAAATACTTTTAATATCTGGAGAAAACACAGTAGCAATCAAGGCATCCGGATGCACTCGGAATGCCAAGATGCTTCGTGGGAGCCCAGGAGCGCTTTAATGAAACAGCGTCCAGACTGTTTGAATAATTTTAATTTAATTGTAAGGCAAATTGTTCGGCTTCATATCAACTGAAGTAAATTCTGATGGATGGGATTTTAATTAACTGACATTTCTTAAATAAAATAAATATTTTACCCCGTCCACCCTCCAGGCAGCTGTTTATCTTACAGAGACACACGTTTTGGCAGACAGAATATTGTCTGCAAAGTCAGTTTGGCTCCAAGAAGACATCATGGGAAGGGCTTGGGAAACTAGAAGTTTGCTATGTAAAAGGGTACCAGCTGAGTTCCGCAGTGTCTTCAAAATGCCAAAACTGTCAGTACCAGAGAAGGTTTAAGGTAGAAGTCACAACACAAGAATGATGGGTAAAAAAGTTCTTCCCCAATATATAAATGGGTCCTAGAGAAATTAGAGCAAACCTTTCTAAATGCAGGTCAGGGGTTGCTAGAAAGGAGCAGAATTTTCTGAGACTCTGCTCCTTTCAAAACAACAAAACAGACATCGTCAAAACTCAAACTTTTTTCCCTTCCAACGCCTCTGTTATGAGAAAGAAAGTGTGTGTAGCAGACCGAAAGTATTTGCCAAACGCTTATTTAACAAAACACTTTTATCTAGAACATTAGAAAAAGATGTAAAACTTAATTACAAAAAGATAAATGATCCGATTTTTTAAAATGAACAACAGATTGGAACAATATTTCAACAAAGAGGTTTGATAAATGGCAAGATTATATAAGATGTTCAGCATCATTAATCATTAGGGAAATGCGAATTATAAAGCACAATGAAATGCAACTGTGCACACACTAGAATGGTTAAAAATAAAAAGATTGAGCATAACAAGTGCCGGAGAGGTAGTAGGGAGAATGGAACTCTCAGACACTGCTGGAGGGAATTTTTAAAATGGTGCACCCCATTTGGAAAACAGTTTGGTAATTTTCTAGAAAGTTAAACCAATACCACATGCCTGAGACATTCCACTCCTAGGTAATTACCCAAGAGAAATTAAGTGATATTTTACACAAAATTTTGTTTGTGCTAGCTGAAAGCTGGAAAGTACACAAATGCCCATCAGTGGTTGAATGTGGCATATTCACATAAAGGAATACTATTCAGCGATGAAAAGGAAAACTCCACTGATATGCAAAACCATTTGGTTGGACCACAAAATAATTACACTGAGTGAAAGGAGGCAGATATCTCTCCTCTTTCCATCCAAAAAGTATATATTGTATTATTCCATTTATATAAAATTCTAGGAAATGCAAACTAATTTATAGTTACAGAAAAGAAATTAGTGATTACTTAAGGATGAGTAGGGAGAAGCTAGGCAAAAAAGAGGGACAAAGAAGTGGCACAGGGACGTTCTGATGGATATGGTCATGATCTTGAGGGTTGGGAGGGTTCCCAGCATATACATATATTTTTAAAAATCATCAAGCTGTACTTTAAATGATTACTGTTGAAGGTCTGTTGATTATACTTTTATAAGGCCATTAAAAAATGAAACGAGAATCCAGTAAGCTGGGGCCCCAGAGGCTAACTCGACCTCCTCACAAAACGGGGAGCCAGACCTGAGACCCCACACTGAGTGAATGTGATCTTAGCAGGAGTGAATGGCACTCTCCTGGAGGAAAAATGTCCCAGGGTAGGTCCCCAGGAGCCGCCGACTCAGCTCACAGGAACACGTCACCAGGCAGTCAAAGCAGCAAGTCATCGTGCATGAAAGTCTGCAGGGAAGATATATGACAGACTGGGCTGTCAAGGGCTCTGGCCAGCGGTGTGCTGGGAAATCTCAGGCAAAAGTCCCACTGGGACTGAGCTCAAGCACCAATATGAGGTCACACTCACAGCCGGGGAGAAATATGCAGTATAATGCCATTCATTATACAGTATTTCCGCCAGGCAAATACAATGAACACCAATAGCAGTGACAAAATAACCTAAAAGCGATTCATTTTGAGTGTTTGTCACCTTTGTGTATAACACAAGTAAATATATTTTAGTCTTTAATAGCTAATGGCTAGCAGCTGGCTTGCAAAATTCTTGGAAACTTAACCGCAGTTATAATGAACCCCTGGGAGCACGAATCAGCCCACCAATGAGTAGGTGCGATAATTACTGGATATAAAACATGAAGTTACTATATGTTAAAGGGGTCAATATGGATTAAAAACTGAGCAAGGACCAGTAAACTAGAAAAATAAATGGTTAGGAAGACACTAAAAAGAAAAAATTTTAAAAAAATAACAGGTGTAAGTAACTGTTAAAATCATAAAACTGCAGTACAGGGTTCAATGGGAAATTGCTACACTTTAAGATAGTGTATGGCCAGGATAATAGCTACAGACAGCCTAAAATATGTAAATCAAAATTCATAAAATCACAGGGAGATGTTGATAAACCCACCATTGTTGAAGATTTTAACATTCTACTCACAAGCAGATAGAAAAATAGTAAAGGGAAATAATGTCATGAACACAACCAATCAGCTTGGGTTTTTTTGTTGTTTTTTTATTGGGTTTTTTTTTTGGTACCAGGGATCGAACTCTGGACCTTGTGCTTGTGAGGCAGGCGGCGGAACCACTGAGCTAAATCCCTGGCTCAATTGGCTTATTTTAATAGGTGTGACTGATCTTACAATTATTAGAGAGTGCACAGCTTTCTCATGGAGCCGCTGAGCATATTCTAGTTCGTAAGCCAGATTTTAACACGTCGCAGAGTCAGTACCATCCCAAGCACATTCTCTGACCACAAGGCAGTAAGATTAATAACAAAAATACTAGTAAATTAACAATCCCCAAACACTCAAAAATTTTAAAATACAGTATGTGTCTAGATAACTCTTGGGTTAAAGAAGAAATCCTAAAAGTTAAAACACATAGAAGTGAGAAATAATGAAAACACAATTTATTGAACCTTGTAGGCAATTTGAATGTGATACCTTATACATCAGACTGTAACTACTAATAGTGGAAGAGGGACAGCTGGAGGAGATAAACATACAATGAAAGTAGTTATCGAGGAACAGAATAAGCCCAAGAAATGAGAAGGATAATCTGATAAAGATAAGAACAGATATTAATAAAATAGCAATGGACGGGGTAATACTGAACAATGGACAAAGAAAAACACTCCTTTTTTGACCTCCTTCCCAACCATATGGTTCCTTCCAAGAGGAAGTTACAATCTGTTGTTAATCAGTGTTTCACACTTGGCTGTGGCTTGTTGAGTTCCACCCTCTTATTACAATTATTAGTACATACTGATTGTATGAAATAATAAATTTCCTTTGTGACATTTTCATACATGCGTATAACATACTTTAATCACACGCCCCTTTTTTGCAGCACAGAGCTTCCATGCTTAACCCCCACAAACTTTTAATTTTTTATTCTGAGACAGAGTCTCGCTAGTTGCTAAGTTGCCCAGGCTGGGCTTGACCTTGCAAACCTCCTGCCTCGGCCTCCCACGGCGCTGGGATTACAGGTGTGCACCATCATGCCTGCCTTGATCATAACCCTTTAGAGGAAGTGGAAAGCAGGTCTCTGGTGGGAGCCTTGGGGAGGCTAAAGTATAGAGCCAGATACAATAACATTGTTTCTTTTATTTATTTATTTTATGGCTATCTTTTGTTCCTGGAAAGTAAGAGCCCATTATTTGCTTATATCCACTTCTGACCTACAGTTTCCTTAAGTGAGAGTGTTTGTTTTGTAAGTTGATTTAGAGAACACAGCAATGGTGTTGCATAGCTAAGGTGTAAATTGTGCAAGATACATACGGGCCCACATTTAGGGAGACTCAGGTCTCCAATAAGAAAGGATCTTTGTCAAGAATCCTTTCCTTAATCCCTGGGCAGGCCAGAGCCTCTCTCCAACATATATCCCCCACCTCTCTTTTTCCTTCAGTACTGGGGCCTGAACCCAGACCCTCGTGCATGCTACAAGCCACTGAGCTCCAACCCACACCTTTCTAAAATTTTATTTTGAGACAGGGTGGCATTAAGATGCCCAGGTGGGCTCTCATTTATGATCCTCCTGCCTCAGCTCTCTTAATAGCTGGAATTACGGCCACGTGCTTCCACACCTGGCTATTCCTTCCCTCCCTAAAATAATCATCTTATCAACTGGTCTATCTAGAGTGTAAAGTCTGCAACTGGGTCTAAAATGCTACTCAACAGATCCTCCACAGAGAGCATAGTTAAAGAAACTTAGAGGTCATCTATTCAACAGGTGTAGGTGGGTGACGTAAATGCACAGCGCAGACGGGGTATTCAGAACCAGCAGGGTACAGTGCAGACCATGGACTCGGAAAGCTCACACGTGTCATGTCTACAGTTCCAGCGCCTGCCCACATTTATAACAGTACTTCCTCTTAGTTCACTGAAAAGAAAGTTTTGTGCTATTACCTGTTTGTTTTTTCTGCGTAAGAGAGTCTTTGTCTATGTCTTGTACTCTGAATGATGACTTTTAAGATTATAATACATAGTGCATCAACTATCATTACTGTTTTGTTATGAAATTTTATTTTTCATAAAATAAAAAAGATATCAGCAGCTGCTGAAATGTTGACATGGACACATTTTGAACCAAGGTTGTCAGCTCTTTTGTTTTTTTTCAGAGATGCCAGAAGTTTGGCTTTAGATGAAATCTCCCAGTTCTTACATGATCTGGCCCAAAATTAAAGCATAAACAAAAACGCACACTTCTGCAAGTCAGAGTCAGCCGGCGGCCTGCCAGTTTATAAGCTCGGATTGAGTTTGGTGCCCTTATTTGACTCCTGAGGAAACTGAGGCTGGAGGGGGGAAGGGCTTGGATCACACAGTGAGTTCGCTCAGACTCCCATCGGACCCTGGAGTGTCCTCCCTGGCCCCCAGCTCAGCGCTGGTCCGTTCCTCGCTGCCGCCTATGTGTTCTTCCAACCTTGCAAAGCAGCCAAACTACAGGAGAAGTTCCGACAACAAGCTCCCCCACCCTGGGAGGAGATTCTGTTTCCTTCCTCAGGATTCCTCCCTTCTTTCAAGGACAGCAGCTATAGCTGACCCTCCCCCAGCCAGGCCAGCCCCTCCCAGGAGCTCCGAGACTCACCTGGACTGCAGGGGACGCTGGTTGGGGTACATCCATCGGTTGGAGCTGCTGCTGACCACGGTGTCCGTCATGGTGGAAGGTCAGCCTCAGGCTCCTGGAAGACACCAACCCAGAGAGGACGTCACCCAGGTGCTGGGACACTCTGTCCTTCCCCTGTCTCTACTTTACGCTGTGTTTGCAGGGAAGTAGAAAAAGGCAGCTCCACCCAGAGTCTCCATTTCCAGATAGGGCACCTGGAGTCCCAAGAGGGACAAGTTCCCCTGGAAGTCACAGTCATCTAGTAGCAAGAAATGGACCCAAATCAAGAGTTCCTTCCTTCAAATCTGAGTTCACAGCTTATCAATGTGTCACTGCTAAATTGTCTGGGCTGGCCTTGAACTTGAAATCCTCCCACCTCAGCCTCCCAGTCAGCTGGGATTATAGGCTTGTGCCACCACACCTGGCTTTTCCACCCAATTTTGATGCAAGGCCACACCTCCAGCTGGACACAACTCTTATCCAGGGCCTTTCTATTGGAATCTGTCATCTGACTCATTTACCCTGGAGTATTTCCTGCCCCCTCTTTGTACTCTACATCCAAGCCATCAGAAAATCCTGCTGTTGATCTTCAAAATGGATTGAGAAACTACTCACTGCTTTTGGCCTGTTTTGCTGTTTCACAGACCCAAACTGCTAGTCTCCCTGCCTGGCTTAACGTGGGAACTTCCTCCTCCTCTTCCTGTGTTTTGGATGGTGTCTCCCACATGTCCATGCCTAAAAGGCTTGGTCAGGGGTGGTACTTTTGGGATGCACTGTGGCTCTTTAAGGGGGTGCCTAGTGAGGGGTCCCTAGGTCTTTGACAGGGTGCTTTTGAAGATCCCAGGGGAACCCTGGTTGTGTAGTCTGTGCTTCCTGGTTCAAGGTGTATGTGGTTTGCTCCTACGTGTGCTTCCCCCATGACACGCTGCCCTTGCACAGGCCAAGCCAATGGGGCCACCCAGCCTTGGATCTGAACCTCCAGACTATGAGCCAGAATCGGCCTCTTCACTTGATAAGTAGCCTGTGTCAGGCATTTCATGGCAGTGATGGCAAGCTGACCGATACAGTCTCTCTCTGTATCTAACTTTGCCCACGACAGTTCGTGCTCCACACAGCAGCCAGGGAAAGCTTGAGAAACACACGTCACAGCCACATGCCTGCTGTGGACAGACGCAAAGTCACCACAGTCCCGGCAGTTCCGCTCCTAGGAATCTCTCGGCAAGAAATCAAAACACGGCACACAAACTTGAACGCAAATAAAGGCTCACAGCCATGTCACTCACAGTAGCCACAAAGTGGAAAGCAATATTCACCAGCTCTTGAATGAACAAACCAGGAGGTGTCTCTGTGCACTGAAAATTATTCAACCATAAAAAGAAATAAAGCATTGACACGAAAGGTCACATACTGTATACTTCCATTTACATGAAACATATGGGATCAATATATCTGTAAGAAACAAAAAGTAGATTAGCAGTTGCCTAGGACTGGAGGGGACTCAGTGGTACAGAGTTTCTTTTGGGTGGTGACGAAACTGTTTTAAAATTGATTGTAATAAGGGCTACATGACTCTGAGTAGGCAAAGTTGTCCACTTGAAATGGGCAAACTGTCTGATAGGTGAATTATACTTCTTCAAGCTGAAAAAAATGGTACGACTACTTAGGAAAATGACCTGGCAGTATCCGCTAAACCTAAAGGTTCATCTAGCCTGTGGCCCAAGAATTTCACCCAGGTGCACGCCCAAGAATCAGTGCTTCTGACCTAGGATGGAGGGGATGTTCACAGCCGCTCCCTGTCATTCTGAAAACAGGAAGTGGCCCGAGTCCCTCAGCAGCAGACTGAATAAATCAATCCTGGTTTCTTTGTGCCGTGGAATGCTGCTCGGTGATGAGACAAACTCCTAATAGACACCGTGTTTAGGGGAAGAAGCCAGGCCACAAAGAGAACGCGCTATTTGACAGTGTTTCCATGAAGGTTCGGGACAGGCAAGCCTATTTGACAGTGACAGGAATCAGACCAAATCAATTGATCACTTTGGGGTAGGTACTGATTGGAAGGGACATGGGGGCCTCCATGGGATGAAAATGGTCCATATCTTTTTGTTGTTGTTTTTTTTGTACCTGGGGATCAAACTCAGGACCTTGAGCTTGTGAGGCAGGCAGCAGAACCACTGAGCTAAATCCCTGGGCCCAAAAACAGTCCATATCTTGATCTGGGTCACTAACCAGGTATGAACATGTTCAAAAATCATAAGCTAAGTTCTTTCGATGTGTGTACTTTCCCTCCTTCCTTTCACCCAAAAAAGTAAACCAGCATATGTCTCTGTCTTGCTCAAAAGCCTTCCATGGCTCCCCAGTGCTTCCAGACTAAAATCTAAACGCTTGGCCCACCCTGCGGGCCTTTTCTTCTCTTTTCCTCCCCGTCTTCTCTCCTGTGCTCTTCCCCTGTTTCTCCAACATCCCGGGCACATTCCCAGTTGCTCTTCCCTGCCGGGAGCCCTTCCTTAGACACTAGCCCTGCTCACCTCTGCCTCCACGCAAGTCTGTCCTCAAATGTCACCTCCGCAAGAGGCCTCCCTGGTCACTCCATTCGTTCATCGATTTATTTTTATTGCAGTGCTGGGGATGGAACCCAGGGCCACATGCATGCCAGGCAAGCGCTCTGCCACTGAGCTACTTCCTCAGCCCTTTTTTGTTGTTTATTTTAATTTTATTTTTAAAAATAAAATTGCCTGTGCACATTTAAGATCTATAGCATGTAATATACATGTAGATACAGTATAGTGGAACGAATGAATGTACCTATCACCTCCCATAGCTACCCATTTTTGTTGACTTTGTGGCCAAAGCAGCTATAATTACTCATATAGCAAAACTCCTACACACAATACACCATGGTGAACCACAGTCTTCATGCTGCCTCTTAGGCCTTCTACTTCCTCGTGCTGTATATTTCCTGCTTGGGGTCCATCGGAGCACTGAGGTTAACACAGCTCCTCCTCCATCTCCTCTACCTGGGTTCTCTTTCCTGTAATTTCTTTTTCTTCATAGCTCTTACCACTACTACTCACAAAAATAATTTATTTATTTTATGTTTGGCTATTGGCTTAGTGTTGAGTTCCCCTACCCAAATATAAGTCCCTTGCCGATCTTTTGTTTTCTGCTTGATTTCCAACACCTAGCATAGTGTCTGGCACGCAGAAGGCACTTAATACGTGCTGAATATTGGCATGTGTCTCCACCAACGCTCAGTGCAATGAGCTCAGAGAGCCTGATGTTCTCTGTGGACCTGCCCTTTGCCTCCAGCGTCTCACCAAAGAAGAAGCCGTGGAGTTTACAGGAATTATTTAGAAAGCAAACAGAAAGGGATTGGTGTGTCCAGTGGGCACTGACCTCTGTCGAGCTTGTTATGACACAGTCTTGTTTTCTGGGAGGTGAAGCAGATGAACAAGCGGGTGCACAAAGGCGGGCTGCCTCCCTGGCCTGTAGCCTGGGGCCACCCCGTCTCTGGAGGGGAGGTTCAGGGCTGGACACGCGAGAGGGAAGGCCCTGGCAGAGCCATTCCATCTGCCTCCTGCGGCTGGCACAAGCTCCCCAGATCAATGCGACCATCTCATCACTGCCACTTCAAAACAGGAAGAAAGGGAGTCCCTGTTGAGAAGAGCGGCTGCGGGAAGGGAAAGTCTCCTTGCTGCCCGGGCCCGGGGTGGGGGTGGGGGGTTCCTGACCCTGTGGTGCAGAGCCACTGGCCTGGGTTCTGCCCTCCTCTGATGGAGAACCTGCCCTGCAACCAGGAGCTCTGCAACAGCGAACAGACATGGCCCTAGAAGGCTGTGGGGCACAGGGTGGGGCGAGGGAGCCCTGTGTTGTCTCCTCCTAGAGGCTCTGTCTCCAAATCCTGCCACCCTCAGGGCAGAACCTCCCTGCATTTGTCACCCACGTCCCCTGGAACTCCACGCAGAGTCCAAACTCCCAGTGGAAGCCACTGCTCCTTCTCTCTAGCCAGAAGCCACCTTGTGCTCTCAGCCGGGCCACTCTGGCCTCAATGCACTTAATGTCCCTGGATTGGACTCCTTGACCAGTGCTCACCCCAGTCTACTGGGCCTGGAACGATCTGAGCAATCGAAGTGATTCAGAGGTCTGGAGAAACCGGGCCAGGGAGGGACCATGTGTCCACAGGGAGATCCGAGGTGGGGCAGAGAGGGCAGCGTGGTCCTTCCCCAGCCTCCAGGCATGTGGGCCACTCGGGGCTCGCAGCAGCCCTTGCAGAGACAACTGCCCTCTCCCAGCTGAGCTGCAGGGCTCGGAGACACTGGGGGAGCTGCAGCCACCCCAGGAGCGGCCAAAGCCAGGGACCAACTGAGGGAGGTGGGGCACAGTCCTGGTGTCAGGGTGGGACAGCCCGAGATGCTATCCTGTGTGGGGCTCCCCGAGGGTCAGGCTGGGGCCAGGCTTCAGCTGAAGCCACACCTCACCCGCTACCCTCAGAGCACCCGCTGGGACCCCTCACTGGCACAGGAATCACCACTTCTAGCTCTGCTTCTAGGGATCTTCATCTTGCATGGGGTCCGCAGGGGATGCCAGGAGAGTGAGGTAATCACTTCCCATTTCCTATTCAACAGAGCATGAGCAGAAGGTGTTCATCCTATAAAGCTGCAATTCCCTTTTCCTGCTCCTCCTATAGTTTATACAACAATAATGAGTCATATTTCTTGAGCAGCTACTATGTGCCGAATTCTCTACCTTCATTATTTGCATTCATCTTTATAATCCTATTTCAAGGCAGATGGGATTATTCTCACTGTACAGCTAAGAAAACAGGCTCAGAGTGGTTAAAACACCTGCTTGACGTCACACAGCCGCCAAGTGGCAGAGCTGGGATTCAAACCCCGACTCCAAAGCCCAGGTGCTTATTCACTCCTCTGGTTCACGCCTGTTCACCCCTCCCTGGGCTTGGATTGCTGGGTTCTGAGGAGTGTCTGGGGGACTGGTGACTTCCCAGCCCCTGCCCTCTGGCCCCTGGCTGCATTCCAATCATTCATCCTCAGAAGGAGCCGTGAGCTGCTCAGCCTGTGC